GTAATGTATTCGTTTAATTTGACCCAAAATATAAATGATTTTGGTTTGGTAGGTATTCTCAGTGTTTGTCTTCTTCAATTTCACTTTGATTAAATCTACGTATCCGTTTGTACCGTTATAATTGCATTTTATTTCACCGATTGCAGGAAACTGTAGAAGTAGAAATGAAATAAAATTAAATATTAACAGAACAGCGCGAGAATACGAACATTACAATATAACATTTTTGGCATAATTTTTCTATTAATATACAATATATAATGGAAATCAAGAACAAACCTGTATTTCAATTGTTATTCGTTTCAGTCCAGTTGATGCAATGCTTGTTATAGTTGGATAATTTGGTTCTATAAATAATTAAATTAGATATAAATGAACAATGGTTGAGCTATTGTGTTGACTTGCCTGAATATTCATATTTGTAAATATGTTATGTTTATTTTAATTGTTTCCATTTTTCTGATCTTTAAGTGCAGTGCAATGAATGTCAGTTAATCATGGCTTAACTACATTTGCACTTATAGTGCAGATGTTATCTGTTAAAATTGAGTATTTTAAACGTATTGTGACGTAAAATACGGGGAAGGGCATATGTGGGGCTACCACGTATTCAGGATCTAGGAGCTCATCTTCAATACAGGTATAATAATATACGTCTCTGGTAGCGTGCTTATCTTATAAGTCTTTCCTATTAGCGCATCCGCTTTCACAGGATCGTTTGTTGAAAGTATATCACCGCAATTGAGGCAGTGTATGGAAGGAAATATACCGGTAACAAATTCAATAAATATATAACAATATATAACAATATATAACAATATATAAGATTTCCGTCACTATTAAATAAATAGTACGGAGCGCTAATCAATGGGATCAGCAAGGAATGGGAATATACAGTAAACAAATAAACTTAGGACTTGATCGATGCTACAGAGAAAACTCCATGCTCCGGTGAAGAGCAAAGTACAATGTTGCGTTTCTTCATATTGGGCACACTTTCGAGGCAGATCCACTACCATTTAAACTTCTGATCAGTGCCCAGAGAATATCGGCAACACCACGGATATCTGCTGCTACTAGTACATACGTACAGGGAGTCAGTACTCAGCAGGACAGGATGTTACAGTCAGGTCACCTTCCTAACTAATGGTTCTTAATCATGTTTGAACTTAAACATTACAACTAAATTATGGCCATGCAAACAATAAAATGTATCTAACGAAATGTTTTGTTATCTCGAAATAGCGGACAAATCAGTGAATACAGGATGAACATTTTTGTAGTGGAATAAACCACTTATTATCCAAGCTCGGGTCAATGATGTTATATATATTTTCATTACTAACAACACTGGGTTCAGCACATTCCTAGGTATTTCACAATCACCATTCTATTGTCTGAGACATACCATTATGCCACAGGGGGAGACAGGATGAATATATCCCAAATACTGCTGACAACACAACCTAGTGATGGTATCAGCAGTCTGAAAATATGCATGTGTAATGGTTGTTAAAAGTATCCAAACGTCTGTGCTTTTCATTCACACAGCAAGGGCCCTGTTTTCTAAATTTACTTTACACTTGAAATTTATGTCACAGTATGTTGGACAAGGTGAGTTGAATTCAATTGATTACACCATCAACAACGTAAGTTAGTTATATATTATCATTTTGCTGAAAATACCTAGAAGAACTTATCAGTTCGGTTTCAATTTTTTTGTAAATACTGATGTACATCACTGTGCAGTTGGGAGGTAAATATGACTCATTTTAAAATGCGTTTTATAATAAAAAAGCATCATCATTACACATTATCTGCATTGAAATATAAAGTTGGATAGTGTTAATGTGCAAAATCAAATGATGCGTTTCACGACCAAGCATTTTGTCGATAGCGAAATAATCATAACATTCAATTATTAAATCACATAGTCAAGTAAATATTTATTACTAAATAAACACTTCAATAACACAATCATGTTGAACACCAAGTTTTTAATTTTTATAAAATTCAATTTAAACAGCGTGCTTTTAATTGAAACAGTGTGTTTTCATGAAAAACACAACAGTGTTCCGACGATTGACAGTGCAAAAACTATGATTATGATAGCTTAAAATTAAGACTCGCAATGAGTTAATTTCTATTTGTTGTTGGAGCTTCAACTCAATGAGAACATTTATGTTATGTAGATAAAAGATAAAAGACACTGTGATGATTTAATGAATATTGAATATCCAATTAAAATTGCTTGCTGAAAAGCAACCTTTAAGGTTTTTGCAATTGATTGTGGCCTATGCTATACCGTGTTCCGGCCAAACAGCTGCAACCACACAGAATCAGATGCCCAACACATATTTCTAACACATAGAAAATATGTTTTGATTGTTTCCAAAACTGCAAATGTATTTTAAGCATAATCATGTATGTATTCAAATGCATTTTTCAATGTGGAATGTGATTTTGAAAGTTGCATAAGTTAACGTTTGTTTCAGTGTTATCAGAGCATTCCCACGTTATTTTTATTCGTCTTACACGTATACAACGTATATAACATACATGATAAACACGCCATCATAAAACATCGTGTAATCAAGTAAGACAAATTATATTTTGAAACACAGACCAACTAACCAAAGACCAACTAATATTGATTATAATGCCATTAGTCCTGTTATGTCGGCATTTGGCATATGCAAGGACAAAAATAGATTGGAATATAAATATAAAACATGTATAATCATTACTTACTTGCACACAGTGTAGTTGATGTAGTTGTCACGAGTTTACCTCCTTCACCAAGTGGACCCGGTCTTTTAACAGTCACTGTAATTTCATATTGAGTTGACCACTGTAATTCTGTGATAGTTGATGTATAACTCATCTGACTTGAATCACTGACTGATATAACTTGACCTGATATCCAGTCACTCTCACCACTCTCTCTGTAATATACTTTATAAGATTCAACTGGTCCATCTCCAATATCATCAGTAGTCCATTTGTTCCAGGTCACAGTAAGCTGGTCAGATTGACTATCTGATACTTGAAGCTTGTTACTAGTCTGAAACCTTGGCAGATCTCATGAGGAAAAATATGTGAATTAGTAAATTAGTTAAAGTGATCTGCCCGTTACTTAGCATAATTCAGGTATTTTAACTATTCTTGGAGGTATTTTACAAAATGCAATCCATTTTTTTAGTATTGAAACAATCGTGTAATATACTATATGTCACCGAAACATCATAAGAGCATGTCAAATTATTCCCAGTGAACAAAATACACGCTTAAACCCTTAGTTTTGTTCAATTTCATTAGTTCTGGTGAAACCATTTTTACTGACTTCCAGCAGTACTAACAGTGCATTAGAACACATAGACATGTTCGTAATCAAGTAATCAAACACAAATCTTTAATAGCATTCCAGTACTGCAACAGCTAATATTCACGTTCAAATCACCGCCTCACTGAAAAGAAGTCATCTCTAGCCCAACTTTTGAAATAGATAAATGAATAATATTCTTTTAAATTACAATCAGTACCAAGATCTTAAAATTATGGTGCATGCATAAAATGCGTACCACTACAGTGTGGCGTAAAACAGGGCAGTCAAGAAACCCATATACCACAGCGTTATGTCACATACTGCCTAAT